TATGTGACGGACTGGCCCCAGAGGGGCTTCGGGGGCAACCAGCCCCGCGGCCATCAGGGGCGCGAGCCCCAATCCTCTTACCCACTTGACCACGGAAGGCAAAAGGATTCGTAACAACAATACTGACCGATTGTTGCCTGGTTGCACCTATAAGGGTGCCCCTTCAGGGGCTCCGCGCCAGGCCACTCGTGGAAGGCGCTGGGCCAGAGCCCAGCCCATAACACTTTACTAGGTCTATATATATAAATTCGATTAATAAGGTTACCTATTATAATATAAGGCATAAATTATTATAAGAGGTAATTTATAAGTAATTAAAGAATATAATATAATATATATAGCTATACTTATAGTAAGAGCCTTCTAAGTAATAATAGCTATAGCTACTTACCTTAACCTTAAGGTATACTAATTTAATATAAAGAATACTTTCTTTAATATAACTAGACCTAATAATATCTTAAAAGTCTATATTTAATTACTAAATAGATAGATAGCCCTTCTTAAGAAAGCCTTATATAGCTTAAAGGACTTACCCTATTTATAGCTTAAGGAATTTACTAATACCTTTATAAAGTATAATCTATTATAATATAAGGAAGAGCCTTATTTATATTATTCTAAAGATAGGAAGATATTTTTAGTATTTTTTATTAATAATATCTTTCTTTTTTATAATAAGAAATATAAAAACTAAGCTTTATTTTTTATAATAAAGATAAAATAAGTATATAATATATATAACTAAGGAGATCTTAAGTAGTTCTTTAGTATTTATATTATATATAATAGAAAATAAAAGCTATTATTTTTTAGTTATAAATAATATATTAAAAGGATAACTAAAAAATATAAATTTACTTATAATTAACTTAGAAAGTAATATATACTATTACTATCTAGAAAGCTTATTTAATATACTAGTATTATAAGTAAAGTAAATATTTACTACTTTTAAGAGTTAATAAGGTTAATATTATATATATTAATTATAATCTAGTTAGATATTATATATATAATATCCTTTCTTATTTACTTTTTTATAAACCTATTAAGAGATTATATTTTAACTATAAAGTATTATATATATTATCTATATACTATAAAGACTTTAATCTTTACTTATAGTTTAAATAAAGAAGTAGTTATTTTATAAATTATTAGTAATATATTATATACTAATAACCTTATTATTAAGAAGTTATTTTAAGGTTAAATAATCTTTCTATATAATAGTCTTATATTTTAGAAAACTATAAAATAAAATACTATTATACTATTTATAATAAAGGCTAAATTATTAGGTATATCTAGCTTAGTAAAAAAGGCTTCTATAATATATTATCTTTTTATAATAATAAAAAGATAAATAGCTTTTTTATATAAAATAATATATAATAATATCTAGATAATATATATTATTATTAATAATAAAAAGTATATATTAACTAAATTAAGATATATTAATATTAATAATATATAGTTAAAGTAAGAATATAGATATAGGTATTTTATACTTACCTTTATTCTAAGTAAAGTAATACCTATAAATAGTTTTATTAAAATTCTTCTTTATTAAGCTTTTTTAAAGTTTAAATATCTTATTAATTTAAGAAAGCTTTTAAATATAGTTAAAAAAAGTAATATAATTATTCTAATATAGAATATAAAGTATAGTATAGGTAAGAAGGTATTATTTAATCTTTAACCTTTTAAAGAACCTAAAGATAAATAATATTCTATTTAATTATTATAATATATATATTAATTTTTAATAGTTTTACTATATAACTTTATTAATAAATACCTTAAAGTAGTATAAAGCCTAGGTTTTTTACTTAAAAAGAGCTTCTTTACCTAATACTATATTAGTAATAATAGTATTAAATATACTATCCTTTTATTTTAATATTTTAAAAATAATATATAATACTATATAATATAAGACCTTATCTTAAAAAAAAGAGTAAAGTATTAGTAAGTACTACTAAAGGGTATTAAAAGTAAATAATAAATAACTTATAAACTTAAAGCTATCTTTATATATTATTATTAAATACTAAATAAAAAAGATTATTATAATTAAATATAATTTATATTTATAGTTATAATAAGTATAATCTTTATATTTTTATAAGTATATTATCTTTTTAATTAATATAAAGTTATAATATATATTATCTTTTTTATTAAAAAGTATAAATTAAATATATTTTAAATAAAGGTTTATTTAATAAAGCTTAGAATTAGCTTTTATTAACTACTTTACTAAGGTTTAAAGCTAAGAAAGTATTAATTAGCTTTAGTTAATTTAAATAAAAAAGTAAGTATTTATAGTATATATTAATAAAAATACTAACTATAACTAAGTTATATAACTTATAAAAGTTATCTTAATAAGAGTAGTAAAAGTATTATAATAAGGATAGTATAATATAATAGGTATTTCTTTCTTCTTTTTCTTTATTTCCTTCTTTTCTTTATTCTTATCCTCTTTATCTTTATTCTTAACCTTAACCTTCTTCTTAGTTAACTTAGCTATACTAATATCTTTATTATTATTATTATTATTATTATTAATATCTTTATTATTAATCTTTTTAATAAAAGTAAGTATATATACTATTAATAGTAAGACTAAGCTTATAAAGGTTTAAAGTTTTAGTTTATTAGTTAAAATAACTATAGTTATATTAATTTAATAATAACTATATTAAAAAAAATATATAATATTATTATAAGCTTATACTTTTTTATATAAGTTAATATATAATTTATATACTTTTATAAAAGGCTTTTTTTATTTAATAAAGAATATAAAGGCCTTTAAGGAAGGCTTTTTAATATTTACCTTTTTAAAGAACTTTTTTTAGGTATCTAGAGATATAATTACCTTTTTAAAAGACTTTTTATTAATAATAATAAAGATAAAAGCCTTAGTAATAGTAAAGAAAAAGGAGTTAATAGCTATAAAGTTAATATATAAAGAAATTATTATTAAAAATTTAATATAATTAATAATAATAAAAAAAATAAAATAAAAAATAATAAAAAATTATTATTATTTTTAATAAATAAAAAAATAAGTAGTTAAAAAGAAATAAATAAATAATAAAGAATATAAGAATAATATATAATAAAAAGTAGCTTTTTATATTTAAAAATACTAGCTTACTTATTAATTAAAATAAAAAATACTTTAAATTATTTATTAAAAAAAAATAATTCTA